ATGCTGTGTGCCTTTTAAAGATTGCAAAACAAACTGACACGTGCTTGTTAAACCCTAAAGGTATTTGCTTATGAAAGGCGCAATCTTGACACACAATGCAATTTACTGTAGTAACTTTCTGAGCAATTAATCCGCCTACATTCTGACAGGTCTCCAGTGGCTACTTTGATGGTTCGTCAAAGGGCACAGAGAGATTCATGGATTTTAATCCTTTATGCTAATTTTTCAGGTTGTTTTGTGCTGTCAGAACCAACCACTACCATTAGTGAAGTGAAACACGCCAGACACTGTCGGTGAACTTTTGGAAATTGTATTGGCCAATGCTGTGTTTAGTGGTGAAGCTGGAAAGGCAGGTCTCAAAGATCTTAACTCATGGGTAGTAGTACATCTCTGTGAGCTTCCCCTTCACTTCAGGCAGTATAACAAGACTTGTAAGGCTAGTGATAATTGGGAGGAAGGCTGACTTGAGCAGGAGATAGAAGGAGACAATCTGGAAGCGGGAGAGCTTTCTTACAGGGTTAGAGCTGGGGAGATATTGGGCCTGAAAAAAATCTCCCCATAGACCATGGGCACTAAAATGGGCGGTCAGGCACAGATGTTAGGGAATCATGACTACTCTGCCCTTCGCACAGTGCTGTATGGAGGGATGTCCTGGCTAGATTGGTGGTGTGGATCCGGTATGGAAAAGGGAACCAGAGTATAGGAAAGATTGAACACTGCATTAGACACCAGGGCTGAAATATGCCTGCCTCTTTGAGGTTTGCAGTACTCTCCTAGCAATCATGTAATTGGCTTGGCAGGGTCTTCCTGGTTGGGCATGACGTAAACCATATATAATTGCTGTTAATGCAAAATTGAGATTGACATTTTTACTGGGCAAATCCACCTCTCGAACTAGGAATCTGGGCATTATTTATTCCTTTTTAATAAGTTTCTTTAAAAGGGGACTGTCTTGTTTATGGGCCTGCCTATCCGTCCATTCGCTGTGTATGCTTATATTTTGTATAGCTTCCCTAGTGAAGTGCCGAAAGCAACATCATATGGGACCTTTAAAAATAGGATGAGCCAGTAATTGAGGGAATGTGCCTTTGTGAGAAGCCCTGTAGTGTCTGGGAGATGGACTGGAAGATCTAATGGGATCATTCCGTCTCAAACTTCCTTGGTTTTATGTATCAGATAATGTAGAGTTGGGCCAGAGGCATATGTCTAACCGACATTTCTGAGTTCCAAACAGAGCCACGTGCTCCACTGGCTAGTATTGCTAGAGACCAAGCAACTCAGGGGATTTTATCTGTGGAGAGCTGGGCCATATCAGAATTGGGAATGCCGAAGTAAAGTTGGACCTAAACAGACTCCAGTAGGTGTTTTCTTCACATGAAACCACCTGTCAAGTCATGCCTCGGTTCAGGAGAGGCCCAGGTCTGGAATAGCCGGGGTGTAGTTGAAGCAGGGGACCTAAAGTGCTGGATAAATTCTATGCAAACTTGTCCATGTTGCCTAAAAAGGACTGGACTTGACCAAGATCATCTAGAATAGAAAAAGAAAACCAAGGGTAACGCCACACTATCGCTTAGTGGCGGGAAACCATGAACCCTGGCGCCATGGGCTAATATCCCCGTGTACTATTCCAGGCATAACAAGAAATAGTAGCTAGTAGACGCCACCGTTTCCCCCTTTGATATTTGTCTCATTTAAGCTTTTGTGAAGGAGATGCTGAACTTGGAAATAATTCTGTTTTTCTTGGCTCCTCTGGAGGGAATGCCTAGAATTCCTTTTTTTTCCCCCCTCCCCCTGGTTTTCCATAGAGTTACTGTACAAACATGTTATTTTACCTCTTGACATCCCAAGATGTTGGGCTTTGATATTTCCTGACATTTTCTTCTAATCTGTAGTCCCAGTTGCAATTGAAGCATTGGCTTTCATTGCTGATTTCTTTGTTCTTTCTTACAATTGTCGGGGGAAGTCTTCAACATGAGATCATTGTCCAACTCCTCTTGATTTTTAAAGGCTGCCTAACTGCACCCATTTTGAAAATTGGTGGAACTTATCTAGTCCCATCACTACAGTATCTGGGGCCAGGTCTACACTAAAAAGTTGGGTTGACCAAGCTACGTTGCATGGGGGGGTGTGTGAAAACTCCACACCCGTGAACGACATAGTTAAGCCGATCTAATCCCCCGGCGTAGACAGCGCTACGTCGACAGAAGAACTCTTCTGTCAACCTGGCTGCCCCCTCTTGGAGAGGTGGATTAACCACAGCGACGGGCGAACCCCTTCTGTCGCTGTAGTGAGCGTTTACACTGAAGCACTACAGTGGCACAGCTGTCCCTCTGCGGCTGTACCGGTTTGAGTGTAGACATAACCTGAAAGCATCACGGTTTTTAATATGTTTAGAAGGGATGCATGAACATTTTCTTTTGAAATTGGCTTTTGGCAGAAAATTGGGTGTTTGTCTGATTTCCATGGACAATTTTGCTTTTTTGATTCAACAAAAAAAATCCCAACAAAACAAACCCTGGAAATATTTTGGCAGAAACCCCAAATAGTATGATTTGCATGTGCTGCTGCAGTGCATCCTGGGAGTTGTAGTTTGGTTTCCTCCTGTCCCGGTTCTCTTTTGTGGGCTGGGCTCCCTGGATGGACTTCATTCTACCATGGCTGGGGACTCTCATGGTGCATTGCCTTCCTTTGCAATTTTTGCCAAAAAATTCAAGTGTTCTGTGGGGAGAGAGAACCTGCTTTTTGGCCAGCTCTTTCATTTAGCCTCAGAACCCTGCTGTGAGGAACAGCCATATTTGTTATTGCCATTATACAGATGGGGCGGGGCCACTGAGGCACAGAGAGACTAAGTGATGTGCCCAAGGTGTCACAGCGAGTCTTTTGAGCTGGGAAGGGAACCTAGGTCTTCTGAATCCTGGGCTAGTGCTGTAACCACTGGATCATTCTTTCTCCCCTCTGAAAAACGTATCTGCAGGGTTTACCAAAACCATACAGTGAGTGGCTTGGGAATCAAACCAGGGTAGAAACTTCTCAGTTTTTTTCAGGTGAAAAATACTTAAAATATGGTCTGAAGTCCTAGTAGTTTCCTTCCTTCTGGCATAAAGATGTTCCAGTATTACTATGGTTTTCATGAAAGTGGTGGGACATTACGAAGCATTGATCAGATAATTAGATTATTAATTTTTGCTCCCCCCACCCCTCCCGGTGGTCAGGCATCTATCTGCAGATAAATAGCAGTTGAAATATAGCAGCTGAAATATTTCATTGTTTGAATAAGAGCCTTTGTGGCACAGAGCAGGAGGGCTCCTTAGTTAATTAAATCAGGGACATACAGTACTGTACTCTCCAAGGGCCAAGGAACAAAAGGGATGTGTACATAATAAGTAACAAACTGCCCTTTCTACCTCTTTTTGCTCAGTTCTTGGGAGCCACGTTTAAAGGGTCATGGTCAAGATGATGATGTATTTTCTCTTTATTGTTACCAACACCGTAGGTTACTAAAGTTGAAAGCATTTTAGAAATTTAATTTTCTTTTAAACTTTTCTACTCCTTGGATTTGACTTCAGCGGACCCACTTACATGCTTAAAGTTAAGCACGTGTTTGGCTGGATTGGGGACAGTGCTCAGCATGTTGTAGGATTGAGCCCTTTGTCTGCCTGTTGCTGTTTCACACCGGTATACCTGCATCCACACTACACAGGGTTGTGCCGCTTTAACTATAGAGGTGTAATGAAAATGGTAAAACTTTCTAGCGTAGACAGGGCCTCAGGCTGGACAATGAAATGAGCTTGATTAGTTTTAGTTTCTCATAATGTGAAACTCTTTAGGGAAGGGACTGTATTTTTGTTCTGTGTTTGTACAGCGCCTAGAGCAATGGGTCCGTGACTGAGACTCCTTGATGCCATGATAATACTACTACTAATAATAATGTGCCTTTTTGGAGGGTCTGCTTTAACCAAACACAAGTTATTGGGTTCAAAGCAGGGGCAACTGGGTGAAATGACCTGTGAGAGACAGGACGTCCGACTAGAGGATCTAATGGTTCCTTAAACTCTGTGGGTCTGTTGTGCTGAAGATTGATAATTCTCTGCAGAACTGGATTGAAATTAAGTAATCTTACATTACAAACATTTTTCATCACACCAGGTTTTCATGTATAAAGCCCCTTTGCTGCTTTCCAAACCCCCCACTTGAGAATTTTGGCCTAACCACATGACTGTGTTGCTGTACTGTGGGAGGATGGCTGTTTAACACTTCTGCTGCTGGCCCTGCAGAGGCAGGCCAGCATCCTTTCGCAGACCATCAGATGTTCCCTTGAATAGCATCAGAAAGATGTAAGATGCCTAGTAAATGGGCTGCACTTGAAGAGGCCTTTCCAAGTCCCTTCCACCAGAAGCCGCGGTGAAGTGATTGATGGGAATGTGGACTGAGTGAATGAGGCTACGACTGTAGGTCCAGAGCAAAGACCTGCCTCAGCACAGTGACAGTCCACTTCTAGCCATATTTCTTTTGTGTGTGGCGGGAAGGAGAGAGGGAATGGAATAGCTCAGGGGAAATGGTGAAAGATGACCGCGCCTTTCAGCTCTAGGTCACTGGACCAAACCCAGCCCAGATCACTTGTGCCCACAGTGAAATGAGTTTGTGGTCTGAGTCCGTTGACTAGAGTGGACGTGTGACTATGTTACAAGCTGCCACCCTCACCGTTGTGGTGCCCTTTTGAGCAGTCCAAGCAGAGGGGCCCACGGCTGACTGAATAGGCCACATAGACCATCTCAACCCAACATGTGTTGAGGTTCATTGGTAAAGCAGCTCAGGGAACCTCGCACTGCTCCCCCTTACATGGTGGATAGAGAGCTCAGAGCTCCCCAGGGAATTCAATCTGGCACCTGGTGTTCTTAAAGGAATATCACCCATAATTTGCAGAGATGTAAATGCAAGTGATCACGGTCCTCTGAATATTTGATATCCGCAGAACAACTCTCTTTCTATGTTTGTTGCAGGATGTGGGTCTCTTAGAGTATCAGCATCATCCCAGGGATTACACTTCCCACCTACCACCTGGATCTATTTTGCAGCCACAGCGGAGGAGGCCTTCCTTGCTGTCTGAATTCCAGCCAGGGAATGAAAGGTAAGGAGGTGGGCATTCTACCCACAGTGTCTCCTTCTGGGTGTCTGTGTGTGTCTGTATTCCTCATTCCTTCATGTTCGCACAGCGCTTGGAAGGTGACGAGTGCTCTGTAAGACCTAAGCGCTATTATTATGAGCTCCATGTGTTTTAATGGGGTTTATTGTACTTGATGATGCAAAAGCTCTTCTGATTTCTCCAGTATAATCCAATCCCCATAATGATCCCTACATGCCAAATGTTCGGAAGAAAGGGCCTTGTGTGTCTGGGGCTGTCCTTCCCATTTCCAGTGAATGGCACTGCTAAGTGGGAGGGCACTGGGCCTGCGGGTATGTGCTTTTTTTGGTTCTCCATGGGTGCTAAAGCCAGAGGAAACATCTGACAGCCTGAGCTAGAGAACACTAGAATAACAGGCTGTGTGCTCTCTATCTCTGTTCCCTGGGCCAGACTCTGAGCTCAGTTGCACTAGTGCAAATGTGTAATTACTGATTTATGACTTGTCCCTTTTTCTTAACCCCTTTACTGTCTGCTGTGTAACTTTAAACAAGAACGCTTCCATGAAGCTGTACATTGGCTCGATTAGCTCTGTGGGCTTCTCTGAGTGGGAAGTGAATGCAGCGTTTTTGGTTTTGGTTTTAACTCTAAAAGGCAAAAGGGAGGAGTTAGAGGAACCAGAATGGTCGGTTTCCATTGTTCACCTCCACTTCTTCTTTTGTTGCTCTCCTCCTGTTTTTTTTTTTTTAATTTCTCCTTTTACACTTGCATCTTCCACTCATTTCATTCTTGCCAGGTCCCACTGCCTTCCCGTCATGCTCACCGATAACCCCAGGGAGAGCGTGCAGGGTGTTTTTATGTGCGGCTCAGCCAAACACAGTGTGGCTAACAGTTTTGTAGATGCACTAACCACAGGAGCTAACCAGTTAAAAAGGCCAGCACTCTTGCTCTCGGTTTCATTGCAAAACACCACGCTCTCCATGTTACAGTTTCTCTTCTGCATTTGGCACCGAGTGGTCTTGGAAAAAAATAGCCTGGAAGTGAAATACATACTGTAGAACAGTAGACTTATGCAAGTCAGTGTTTGACTCTTGCTACTGGGTATGGCTAAGAGCAGTCCTGAATCACTGAGCCCTCAGTTATGGCTGGATGAAAAATACATTTCTCCTTTTTCCAAAATCATAATAGTTAGAGAGAGGGAAAGATATATTAGGTCATCAGGTTCGTTCCACGATAAGTGCATGCACCTTATGATGGATTGCTCCAGATTTTGGCCAGAAATGCCAAAATACCCTCTTTTTCCCAACAGCGTGGGTTCTTACTGATGCAGTCGCGTCAAACAAGCGAGAATCTGGCCAAAAAAAAAAAATACAGATTTTGAAATTGCTCTTTGCACCTGGTAGCATGGTGAAGTATGTCCTGGCGAGGTGGATTGAGTGCAGGCCTCAGGCACTTGTGCAAAGAGGTAGTGTCAGTGTTGATGACGACTAATCCACCTCTCTGCCTGACGCGTTGTTTTGACTTGCTCCGATTTCTCAGTGGTAACTCCTCCATAGTGCAGCACCTGAGAACAAAGTTGGAAGTGGGCCAAATCAGAACCGTTTATCTGAATCCTCCTACGTAAATGGGACCTTGACAGAAACAGCCCCTGACTTCAGTTTTTACAATTTGAGTGTGCTGGTGAGATTTGGCAAAATCCGGAACGGGACCTACCCTTTTTTGGGCATTTGCCCAGTAAGAATTTGTTTCAAGGTACTGAATGTATTCTTTTCACATTCATTTCTTGTTTCCCTGTATAACAAAATACCAGATGGAATACAAAAGCAGCCTGCTTATATTACTGACTGATTTTTTTCACATGAGCAGTTCTTAGAACACCAAATGCAAAAGGGTCTCAGAAACATCTGCCTCGTATATGCTGTGTGATTTATACAATAAAGCCTATCCTGCGTAGTGTGGTCGTGGACTCATAGACTTTAAGGTCAGAAGGGACTATCATGATCATCTAGTCTGACCTCCTGCGTTCTGGCTGAGTTACTAAAGTCCTCAAATCGTAATTTAAAGACTTCAAGTTACAGAGAATTGACACTAGTTTAAACCTGCAAGTGACTCGGGCCCCATCCTGCAGAAGAAGGTGAACCCTCCCCCCCCCCCGGGGTCTTTGTCAGTCTGACCAAGAATAGTATGTGTTTAACCCTTCAAGCACTGATTAAAGAAAAGATGGACAGCCTGGGTCCTCTGCTCAGTGGAGAAGGTGAGCTGGTAACAGGATGATAGGAAGGCGGAGCTGCTCAGCGCCTACTTTGCTTCGGTCTTCTCACAAAAAATAAAGTGACTGGATGACAGCGAAGTTACTGTAGACAAGGGGAAAGGGCTGCAGATTGGGATAAGCAAAGAACATGTCGGGGATCTTCTGACCAATTTGAATGAATTCAGATCAGCTGTGTCTGATGCTGTTCACCCCAGGGTACTGAAGGAATTAGCTGAAAACATCTCGGAGCCACTGACAATGATGTTTGCAAACTCATGGATAACAGGAGAGGGCCTGAAAGACTGGAGTAGGGCTAACGTGGTGCCCATCTTTAAAAAGGAGGAGCCGGGGAACTACAGACCAGTCAGCCTGTCCTAGATACCTGGGAAGCTACTAGAGCAATGTCTAAAACATTCAATTTGTGACTACCTGGAGGATGGAGGGGTGATCACAAGAAGCCAGCATGGATTTACCAAGAACAAATCATGCCAAACCAGCTTGATCTCCTTTGACAAGGTAACTGGTTTGGTGGTTAGGGGGAATGCGGTGGACATAATATACCTGGACTTTAACAAGGCTTTTGACACAGTTCCACATGACATTCTGATAAGTAGCTGGAGAAATGCAGGCTCAGTGGAACTGCCATTAAGTGGATACATAACTGGTTAGACAACCACAAACAAAGAATAACTATTAATGGAATGTCAGATTGGAGGGAGGTCTCAAGTGGGGTTCCACAGGGATCTGTTCTGGGTTCGGTGTTGTTTAACATCTTTATTAATAACCTGGATGTAGGAAGAGAGAGCATCCTGATCAAATTTGCAGATGACACAAAGCGAGGGAGGTTGCCTGCACTTTGGAGAATAGAGTAAGATTCAGATGGATCTTGATAAATTGGAGAACTAGACTATAGACAACAAAATGAAATTCGACAAAGACAAATGTAAGGTGCTACACTTAGAGAAGAAAAACCAAATGCACAAATACAGAATGGAGGATAACTGGCTTGGCAGCAGCACGGCTGAAAATGATCTGGGAGTTGTGGTGGATCAGAACCTCAACATGAGTCAGCAACGTGATGCTGTTGCAAAAAAAAAACAAATGCAGTTTTGGGTTGCATTAACAGAGGCATAGCATGTGAATCACGGGAGGTGGTTGTATCGCTTTACTTGGCACTGGTTAGGGCTCAGCTGGAGTACTGTGTCCAGTTTGGTCACCAATGTGTAGAAAGGTTGGGGAGAAACTTGAAAGGCTCCAGAGGCAAGCAACAAAGATGATCAAAGGGATGGAATGCGAGCCATACTAGGAAAGGTGAAGGAACTGGGTATGTTTGGTTTGGAAAAGAGGAGATTGAGGGGGGACATGATTGCAATCTTCAAATACTTGAAAGACTGCCGTAAAGATGGAGGAAAAATTATTCTTGCTTGCCGCAGAGAGTAGGACAAGAGGCAGTGGGTTCAAACTACAGCACAGCAGATTTAGATTAAATTTCAGGAAAAACTTCCTAAGACCCATAGGACAATGGAACATAGGACTGCCTAGGGAAGTTGTGGAATCTCCTTTGCTGGAGATTTTTAAAAAGGGACTGGATAGCCATCTATCTTGGATGGTTTAGACACAACAAATGCTGCATCTTGGCCAAGAGAGGGGGGGTTAGACTAGATGACCCTTGCGGTCCCTTCTTACCCTACGATTATTTTCAGACTGTCAGCCACATGAATGCTTTGGAGTTGTACAGCATGTAATGTCAGTTCTGGATGCATCTAGACAGGCATTCCATAAACAAAACCATATTTTAAAAACTGGTCCCCTCTCTCTTTCTATCTGTTCCCCATAGTGCCCAAGGAGTTAACCTTATGGAAAGGTGGCATTTGCTAAGATGAAGCTGCAAATAAAAGAGCCCTGAACTTAGGGAGGGTTGTGTTTTGGTGGCTCCCACAGTGGGAGAGGGCAAAAGGACAGGACGGGCCAGGTCCTGCGAGATTTCTAGCTCCCACAGGGCTTCTGGCGTAGGCTTGATTTGGAGCCATGATAATAAGCATGTGCTCAGAGCCACTTCCTGTTCGCTGATTTCCAGCAGTCAACTCATCTTCCCTCCCTATCTAGGTTGCTGTGGGCTGTGCTCGTCACCGCTTTGGGGGTGGGAAGGAATTTCCCCCCATAACAGTAGAGTGGGTCTTGCCTTTTGCGCCTTCCTCGCAGCGAAACCTAGGGGTTGGGTTTTGGGCAGCCGGAGGGCTGGGATTCTCCCCCTCCTGGGGGGCACAGTGTGGACCTATGTTAGGTCGGCAGGTGCCCAGTGTGGGGACTTGCTGATTTAGGCTGCAGATCCAAAAAAGGATAATATAGTGGGTATCCCGAGGGCATCTCCTTATGAGATGGGGGCATCATGTCTAAGTCCTTAGGGGCAAATGCAAACCAGGACTGGGGCACTACCTGGGGGGACTGCCCTGCCAATGCATTTGATGATGTTGCTGGCTGGGGGTTGAGGTCCCCTCTTGCCTCAATACCCAAAAGGGAAGGGATGCTGGCAAGTGAGTGGAGGCCCCCAGAGACCCTCCCTGTGTGATGTTTGGGAGCCCTCAAGAATTGGCAAAAGATCTGTGGGGTGTGAGTGACAGCTCTGGGCTGTCCCCTGATTGGCAGCTTTGGATGTGATTTGTCTAAGAAAGCTATGGCCTGGTTCAAACCCATGTCACGTGTCCTTGCCTTCTTCCACGCCGTGAGTGCACCAATGCTATTAAGCTCAGGAGGGACT